CTCATACAGATGGGTATAGAGAGGTGCCAACTGGGAAGAAGCATCCCTCTCCTTCCTTACTTCCTGGGGAGAAAGCTTACAGGACAGCCAGAGCAGCAGTGACCTTAAAAGCATGTCTATCATCCAACGTTTTTGCTGTCCAGTACCTTAGAATAAAATAGGGCATCTATGTCCATCCTCCTGTGCAAACAATGATCAGATATATTTAGTTGGAATATAATCATGGGTGGAACTGACCTTTGGTGTGAGGTTAAAGGTAAGAAATCAGTAGCAAGAAGTCATTAAAAAAAAAAAGGCTGACTTATTTAGAATGTGAAAAATTGTTAAGTTAAAATAAGTATCAAACCTATACTTAATTATACAAAGTTCAAAGTTATGTTTAGTTAACTATTTGTCAGATGTTTTCAGAGACAGTATATGTAATTTGATTTGAGTCTTTATTTTTTTTTTTAAGATTTTATTTATTTATTCATGAGAGACACAGAGAGAGAGGCAGAGACACAGCAGAAGGAGAAGCAGGCTCCCTCTGCGGGGAACCCAAGGTGGGACTCGAACCTAGAACCCCAGGGTCACGCCCTGAACCAAAGGCAGATGCTCAACCCTTGAGCCACCAGGTGTCCATGATTTGACTATTTAAAGTGGGTGGTAAAACACTCAACTGAATAATCCAAAATACTACAGTCTGGCAGTATTTTAACATTTTTATAAGCCGATGCCACCATCTCGAGTAAAAACCAATAGAATTAAAAAAAAAATAGATGAGAACATCATCCATCCTAAGGAATTAAACCCAAGCCCAAAGTTGATCTTGTGGACTGGAATACAGCCGATGATTGCATTGTCATTAGGATGTCTTCAAACCAATCCAAGAGTGGGATCTACATTGTGGAGTGGGAGATAGGGGGTGAGGAGGATGCTGGCAGGGAGACAGGTAGAAGGCAATAATTCTCCATGTCTTCTTGATTCTAGAAAAGCCCCCTGGAATAGAGGAGAGTATGTGCCACAAAGCCATTGATAAGTGGAAACTTGCTTTGCAGGAGTCTAGTTCTTTGCCTAGGATTCAACTTTCTGGTCTAGAGTTTGATCTCCTGTGTGGCCACACCCATGAGAAAGGAATGCTGTGTGTGGACAACCAGCCCAAAGCCAAACAAATTAATAAATGTGGCATTTACTAATGCTCCTTGAGTTAGGATAATTGCCCTTGATAGCCACATCACCTCTGGCCTCCTATGGGTCAGAAGCATGGCAGAACGTCAGGCAGAAGGACCACTTCCTGGCTCTGCCATCTTGGATGTGATGCTTGATTTTTCTGAGCAGCTCTACAAAACAAGAGATGTTTTCTTGGAGGACTGAAATGAGGATTTGGCATCTAATAATGCCAGGAAAACCTAGTGTCTGGCACATAATGGGCACTCAGTCATGTCCCCCAGATAGCGACTTTGGCAGGGTGTTTCACACCTGCCTGGCTCTAACTAAACAAACCAGGGCGACCAGACTTTCTTTCAAACCTCTTTCAAAGTTGTTTTAATCACCAGCAAGATTCCAGTTTAATAATTTAATTTCCATTGTTAATCTTTAGCCAGGGTTAAAGGTCTTTATTACTAAGACCCTGATGAAAAGCACATTCTGTGCTAATGTTACCTGCAAAAGTTTGGGAGAATTTTTTTCCAGTTTAAGCATTTACTCGGCATGTAGCTAAAAGTTGGAGAATAAAATTTATCTTGGTGAAAAGTTATTTTTGTTAGACATATAATCTTCTTCAGGCAGCCAGGCGCCAGTCCATTTCTACCCCAACCCCATCACCACCACTGCCACCAGCGACTGTATTTATGGGCGGGACTTTAGCCAGTGAGGACAGGAGCTTCCATTCATGGGCAAGTGGCTTCTTAGAAATGTTCCCTACCTTTGGTTAGCATTTTACAATTAATAAAGGTTTAAAAGTTGTCTTGTACACCTCAGCTTACTAATCTTACTCACTCTGTGAGCCAACTCTCTCCTCCATTTTATTAGACAAAAATTTTGAGGCTCAGAGATGTGAAGTGACTCACATGGTGACATGCCTAGAAAGGAAGTGACAGAGCCAGGACTCCAGTCCACACTGCATTTGATCCAGTCCAGTTCTGATTCCATATGCCATCAGGGTAGGTGCTCACAGGACCAGGCAGCTCCTCTCAACAGGAACCTGCCAGAAAGAACAGGTCCAGCAACCAGCATTAATGTCCAGGGAGTCATTTAAATATTCATACTGGCCCTGCAAGAGGGTAAGCATCTTCCCTCAACTGGCAGGGTATTTGGTCATTATTTATTTATTTATTTTATGCAGTTCTCTCCAGCATAATTTCCCCAAACTTACCTGATTATAGGATATCCCTCGTGTACTTCTTAAAAATCTAATTCCTAGGCCACCATAGATCTCCTGAATCGGAATCTCTAGGGAAATACTTTCCTGGTCACAGCTACCTCTCCAGGGAGCAGAGTTCTGGAGCTAGACAACTAAGGTTCACATTCAGGCATCCCTTACTTACTTCAGTAAGTTTGCTACCCACCCTTGGAAACTGAACTATTACGAGGGTTAGATGAGATAAATATATAAGGAAAGGTCTTAGAATAAATGGTTATTAAATTAGTGGTTATTACTAAGTAGTATCCTAATTTTGGTGATAAAGATACAGAAACTTGGAGCTGTGGGCCAATATGTACAAGGTTATAGAGTCATTGGTGGAGCTGAGATGTAGACTTGGATCTGTTGTCTCCATAAACACAGTCACCTGACCAGTATACACCGCTTCTCTCAGTCCCTCCATCCAGGAATCCCCAGTTACAGGACAGTTAGGAAGGTACAGCTTGGAGCCAGGAATTCAAGCTCAGCTAACCAATCATCCAATGAACTTATCTGGAAATGAAACTGATCACCATTTCCTAATTCATGTAGACTTCACAAGCCATGAAGCTCCTATATGTGGTGGGAGGTGGTCCTGGGCCTAGGAACCAGGGTGGCCTTCACCCTTGCATAGCTGTGCACTGACTGTGTGACATCTAACCTACAAGGAAGGCAGAAATGCCCTCCCAGAATTATTCATAAAGATTGTGATGTAGTTTAAATAATGACTTGGGTAAATATGGAGTTCATTAACATTGACAGTAGGCCTGTAATAAGTGATGTATTACGAGTATATTACGAGTAGAAGATCTTTATCATGCCACTCATTGTTTTAAAAGCTCAAAAACTCAGAGTACCTGGGTGGCACAGCTGGTTGAGCAGCCAACTCTTGGTTTTAGCTCAGGTCATGATCTCAGGGTCATGAGATTGAGCCCTGTATTGGGCTCTACACTCAGTGAGGAGTCTGCTTAGGACTACCCTCTCCCTCTACCCCTCACCCTACACGTGTGCTATGTCTCTCAAAATAAATCTTAAAAAGCTTATAAACTCTATGACTTAGTTATTGTGGATTTCAGAGCAGGCTTACTGCTATTTTTTTGAAAAGCATTTTTGAAAACTGTGTATGGATTTGGATACCAGAGACATTCTGCAAGATTAGTGATCTGATAACTCAGTTGAAAACTTTATCAACAGAGTTGGATGATGTCCATACACAATGAGCTTTATGTGTGAAGCATGTCTACAAGTTTTTTTGGGGGAAATACAGGTTGTATTTATTAAAATATGTTTGTTCTTCAGCTTATTGTTTACTGTGTGTTGGGTCTTTCCAAACCCAGGATCAAGCCTGTGTTGGGTACAAAAGAGGTCTTCAGTGAATATTGAATGTATAAAGTAATTTTGTTTATGAATGAATGAATAAAAAGACTTGGAGAAATTTATTTTGATGAGGCTCCATGAGATTGTATTTATACAAAACCTTAGCCAAAAGATTGAATTTTAAGTTATTTTCCTCCTAAAAGATTATTTCTGTCCTCTTCCGGGGGTTAAGGAATCAACATACATAATATGTAAAATAATCTCTTTAGAAATGACTTTTTAATTTTTTAATTTTTATTTTTTTAAAGATTTTATTTATTCCTTTGACAGAGAGAGACAGTGCACAAGTAGGGCGAGGGGCAGAGGGAGAGGGAGAAGCAGACTTCCTGTTGAACAGGGAGCCCGATGCCAGGCTCTGAGGCTCCATCCCGGGACCCTGGGACCATGACCTGACCCAACCAACTGAACCACTGAGGCACCCTGAAATGATTCCTTTTTTTTTTTTTTTTAAGATTTATTTATTTATTTATTCATGATAGACACAGAGAGAGAGAGGCAGAGACACAGGCAGAGGGAGAAGCAGGCTCCATGCTGGGAGCCCGATGCGGGACTCGATCCCGGGACTCCAGGATCGTGCTCTGGGCCAAAGGCAGGTGCCAAACCGCTGAGCCACCCAGGGATCCCTGAAATGATTCATTTAAATGCAGTCTAAATCTCTAATAGTTAATGGTCCCAGATAGCTACATCCTGAGTTCATTGTAAGTGATTTTGTCTTTAAACAATAAGGCCTTGGCTTTCTTCTGATAGCAAAGTATTGTTAGTCAACCACAGAAAACTTTATTAAATCTCACATTTTTTCTGCAAAAAATATTTTAATACCCTTAAAGTATAAATTTTTCTTTAAAATTACTCATGGACAAGATTCTTTTTTAAAGGATGCCTCGGTGGCTCAGCAGTTGAGCATCTGCTCAGAGCACTTGGCTCAGGGCATGATCCCAGAGTCCCGAGATCGAGTCCCACATCAGGCTTCCTGCCTGGAGCCTGCTTCTCCCTCTTCCTATGTCTCTGCCTCTCTCCCTCTCTCTCACTCTCTGTGTCTCTCATGAATAAATAAATAAAACCTTTAAAAAAAAAGATTCTTTTTAAAAAATTTGACTTAAATTCAATTAATTAACATATAATGTATTATTGGTTTCAGAGGTAGAAGTCAGTGATTCATCCGTCTTATGTAATACCCACTGCTCATTACATCATGTGCCAGCACGGAGTCTAACGAGAGGCTCCATCTCACAACCCTGAGATCATGACCTGAGCCGAAATCAAGAGCTGGATGCTTAACTGACTGAGTCACTCAGGCACTGCTCTGAAGCTTTCTTTTGAACCATTTTGGCTTCTTGGTCATTCCTCCTGTCCTCAATATCATCATAAAGTCATACAACGTAATGACTTCGTCCAATGTTCTCTGCAGAAATTCCTAATTGATAAGTACCTGTTATAAAACTGCCAGAACCATGTGCTCAGCTGTGTTTGAGAACAACTTTATAGAGGTGTCTGATCTTTGACCAAGTTCAATGTGGCCGGTTGAGGGAACAAGCCCAGGAACCAGAAACCTCCAGAAGGCTGCGCACTTTATGGATGAACCAGACTGCGAGGAAACCAAGGTTCCTCCTTCCCCTTCTGCCCCTGGGGACTTGGCTTCCTTCTCACAGAGGTGCCCGAGGTGGCCTTGGCACCCCCAACCCTCTGACCCAAAAGCTGCTCAGTACTCAGTACACTGCCCACCAGCCAATGGGCACCTAGGACATGGTGGTTTGACCAAGCAGTCAGAACCTGCCACTGCCCAGCCAGCAGATGGAAAGGGCATGCCCCAGGGACCCCACCACCACCACCATGTGGTGGTAAAGGCCATGCAGGCACATTCGCCCTGGAGGTGGCTGCAGAGTCAGGGGAGCCTCAGTCCTCTCGCTTAGCACCTTAACTCAGTGCAGTGCAGAGAGCTGCTGTTTGGTCTCCAATCAGAGCACCCAGGCCTGGGGGTGGACAGGAGGGAGATGAGTGCCCCAGAACTGTGGCAGGACCACTCCTGGCCCCACTATTTCATGTGGAATAGAAAATGGATCATTAAAAAGAAAAAAGTAAAGTAGGACTCCTGATTCTAGAAATGAGTTGATTTATTTAGAGTTGAGAAAGTGAAGTGTGCTTGAAGGTTCATGCATGAAAAGGCTGTCTAATTGAAACATGGGAGTCACGGTTAATAATTAAAATTTTATGGTTTGAGATCAGCTGCCTTTGTAAGAATGTTACTATCACATTCCTGACTAGGCTTTATGTTTTTGAAATTTGTAGGAGCAGAGACAGGTTCTTGAGGCTGGTTGGTATTTCTTATGCCAGTATATAGTGCTATTTGAAATCCTTTCTAAGTAGGAAAAATGGTGCTGTATTTGTTTTCTATTGCTGCTATAACAACCACACAGTTAATAGTTGGAAACAGCATGTTATCTTACAGTTCTGGAGGTCAGAAGTCTGAAATGAGTCTGGGTTACTTCTGGAGGCTTTTTGCCTTTTCCAGCTTCTGGAGGCCGCCCACATTGCTTGGCTTACCGCCCTACGTCACCCCAATCTCTGCTTGTCTCATTTGTTCTTCATACTCTACCCCTCCTGCTCTTCCTTCTCTTGTAGGAGCTCTTGTGATTACATGAGGCCCACCTGAACAAGCCAGGCTCGTTTCCCAGTCTCAAGATCCTTAACTTACACACCCGCAAAGTCCTTTTGCCACAGAAGGTAACATATCCATGGTCTGTGGGGGTAGGATGTGCACGTCTTGGGGAAGGGGCATTATTCTGCCTACCGCAAGTCCACACAAGGCCCATTGCTTTTAGTGTGGGGCTTTCATGGGCTCCGCCAGGAGTCCGAAGATCAGCCTCCTTCCTGTCTTGCTGGATAGACAAGGGTTAGTGTGAGTAGCATCTCAGATTCCTCCTTTCCTCTTCCATAAAATGTGTATAGTATTCATAGAACACAGTGTCTTGAGAGCTGAGGTGGAATCTTCTGCGGTGGGCACAGAGTAGGGGCTCATACTCCAGGCGGGCATCCAGCCCAGTTCCTTGCCTGCACGAGAAACTCCAAACGTGTCGAGGTTCCTTTCCCCATCTCTCTCCTTTTTCTTTGCCTGTTAAACAAAGACTAAGGCTGCGGCCCCCACAGCCTTCTTGTTCACATGTTCTAGAGTCACACTGGGTCCTTGTAGTGTAGGACTTTGCAGTGTCAGTAGAAACCTTTGCATGTAAAGGACTTAAAAGGAGGGCCTCAAAGATACCAGTTCTGTGCAGGCATTAGTTGGTATACTTCGAGGGGAAAAATAGCTAAAAGAGAATGGTAGAGAGGGATCCCTGGGTGGCGCAGCGGTTTGGCGCCTGCCTTTGGCCCAGGGCGCGATCCTGGAGACCCGGGATCGAATCCCATGTCGGGCTCCCGGTGCATGGAGCCTGCTTCTCCCTCTGCCTGTGTCTCTGCCTCTCTCTCTCTCTCACTGTGTGCCTATCATAAATAAAAATAAAAATAAAAAAAAGAGAATGGTAGAGAGGGTGAGCTGACGAACCAGTGCCCAGGAATGCCTGCTTTGGGTCCTCTAGCTTTCCTTCTGCCACCAGCACCAGTCATACAACCTGGTCAAGTTATTTGCCCCTCTGGACCTCTGATTCCTCATCTGTATGGTGCAGTTAAAAATGGTGTGTCTTTTAAAAGATCTTATCTAGCTCTTATGCAGTTAGGACGTCTTTATTTTATGGAGTAACCATGTTTTAAACCCAGCTCATGTTTGTGCCAACTTGACCGAAATGTTGCTATTTCACAAATTGGAAGTGGTTTGTGAGTAAGAACCAGAATTCTGTGAAAGCAGTGTGTTAATTTGGGGGATTATGTATGTTACATATAAAGGACAAATAGGATTATACCTGAAGACAGATTACTTGGTACTCAGTTTTATGAGAATAATCCATATCAGATATCCATCCGCTGGGGAACACGGTGATTGCTCAGGCCTGAGGGACAGCATAGGCAGCTCAGAGAAACACAGGGAAGGAGACTGCTCCGACTGCATGTACAGCCACAGCTTGGTGTCCAGATTGCTTGAGGGCCGGGCCGAGCGCTGGCAAATCACATGCCTGTCCTTGTGCTTGACCTACTGAATCAGAATTTCCAGACAGGAGATAGTAATTGTCTTTGCAGGAATAAACAGTTCCCCAGGAGGGGCACTTCATGTGTGTGTGCAGTCTCTCCCTACTTGCTACCACCATGGCTCAGAATTTTTAGAATTTGCCAAGATGACTGTCTCTGCAGTGTTCCCCAACCCCTAGAGGGGATCATATTCTCCTTTCTTTATGATTGTTTCCTTCTTGGCATCATATCCTTCTCTCTTCGCAATCCCAAAGTAGAAGTAACCGCCTACCAAGGTGTTCTTCCTTTTGACCAGTTGGACTATGGAGAGGCTGTCTTACAGGACACTGCACTCTCCTTGCTTTTTCTCCTGCTGGTCCCTCTTAGTCAGCCTTCTTTGCCATAACCCCACCTGCTGAATCCCCTCCATTTCCTGGGGTGCACTGAGGTATCTCAGCAGGGCCCCAGGTCTCTGCAGACAAGTCTGAAAACTACTGCTCTCCTGGATGTGAATTGGAGTTTTTGTTTTGCTTTTTGTACATTTTGGAAATAACACATGTGATGTATTCTAATTCAAAATTTAGACATTTCTCACACAATGGCACAGCTCTTTGATGTACATTTTATTTCTTGTATCCCCAGACTTAATGCCCATGATTTGATGTGTTCTAATGTGAAATGTAGACATTTCTCTTCCCACAGCTAAGTCAACCAAAACCCAGCAGGAATAAACCTATAGTTCAACAAAGTCACACTCGTTGGCTTCTTGCATTGAGGGAGACCACACATCAGAGGAACAGAGTGCTCACCAACATGGGAGGAGATAGATCTGTTAGAGCATCTTGGAGAATGGTGGACTTTTGGTGAAGTTTAATGAAGCTTTGACTTAAACCAGGACTGGGTTTTAAGGTCTAGACTGTGAAGTGGCCCCACTGCCCTGTTTCCTTGGAAATTACCAAGTTAAGAAAAACAGGGAAAGTCATGTCCAGAAACTGTGTAATCTGAAACTCCACATCTAAGCTAGAAATCCAGGTTCCTTTTCTTTGTAGGAGTGGGACATTTCATTCTTTCTATTTTGGTTTCAAATAGCAAAGTTTCTAACAGTTTGTGATTACAGAAGATAAAATGTCTTGAGATAAGAGAGCAGCAGTCACTCAGAGAAGGATGGTGTTATGACACTTGATAGCCATGACCTTGGGAGAAATACGGTGTCCCATTAACTTTGCACCTGGCTCTAACTGTGCTTGTTATTCCAGCTGGCTTTCTGAGTAGCAGGGCTGATTGTTACTTTCTCAGTCTCACTGACCAGCAATTTCACATGCTGGATTCTTCGCTTCTGTTTTCCTAACGTGCTTGATTTAGATCCAGTGGGCTGTGATATGTATTAATTTGAGATTTTGATCAAGAGGACAAGTATGCCTAGCATTCTGGCACCTGGCATCTTAACGTACCTAAGAACTTATGAAGTACAAAAATATAACTTTATGAAAAATGACCTGGAAAAGAAAGCTGCTATTCAAACTAGTATTAGAAATATAGGGAAAGGAAACAAATAAAAAAGCCGTAGTTTGAGTCTGCATGGTAGGGATGCCTGGGTGGCTCAGCGGTTGAGCCTTTGACCCAGGGTGTGATTCCCAGCATTCAGAATCAAGTCCCACTTGCAGGCTTGCAGGGAGCCTGCTTCTCCCTCTGCCTGTGTCTCTGCCTCTCTCTCTCTCTGTGTCTCTCATGAATAAATAGATAAAATATTTTTTTAAAAAAACCTTTTGAAGCCTGCATGGTGATTCGATCCTTCAGTCTGCTAATGTCACACAGAGAGATCTAGTCTGAGGAGATCACCAGCTTTGAGGATAAAGATCAGAGACAAAAAGAAACAGTCAACAAAACTAAAAGACAACCTACAGAATGAGAAGAGATATTTGCAAATGACATATCAGATAAAGGACTAGTATCCAAGATTTATAAAGAACTTATTAAACTCAACAGCAAAGAAACAAACAATCCAATCATGAAATGGGCAAAAGGCATGAACAGAAATCTCAAAGAGGAAGACATAGACGTGGCCAACACTGTGCACATGAGAAAATGCTCCGCATCACTGGCCATCAGGGAAATACACATCAAAACCACAATGAGATACCACCTCACACCAGTGAGAATGGGGAAGATTAATAAGACAGGAAACAACAAATGTTGGAGAAGATGTGGAGAAAGGGGAACCCTCTTGCCCTGTTGGTGGGAATGTGAACTGGTGCAGCCACTCTGGAAAACTGTGTGGAGGTTCCTCAAAGAGTTAAAAATAGACCTGCCCTACAATCCAGCAATTGCACTGCTGGGGATTTACCCCAAAGATACAGATGCAGTGAAATGCCAGGACACCTGCACCCCGATGTTAATAGCAGCAATGTCCACAATAGCCAAACTGTGGAAGGAGCCTCGGTGTCCATCGACAGATGAATGGATAAAGAAGATGTGGTTTATGTATACAATGGAATATTACTCAGCCATTAGAAACGACAAATACCCACCATTTGCTTTGATGTGAATGGAACTAGAGGGTATTATGCTGAGTGAAATAAGTCAATTGGAGAAGGACAAACATTATATGGTCTTATTCATTTGGGGAATATAAAAAAGTGAAAGGGAATAAAGGGGAAAGGAGAAAAAATTATTAGGAAATATCAGAAAGGGAGACAGAACATGAGAGACTCCTAACTCTGGGAAACGAACAAGGGGTGGTAGAAAGGGAGGTGGGCGGGGGATGGGGGTGTCTGGGTGATGGGCACTGAGGGGGGCACTTGATGGGATGAGCACTGGGTGTTATGCTATATGTTGGCAAATTGAGCTCCAATAAAATAATAAAAAAAAAAGATCAGAGACAAGGCTACAACATTATTTATTATGGTGAAAAGCTGAAAATAATTTAAACATTAAAGGTGTTGTATATACCCAAAATGAATATTTAGCACTGTGGGGAATGCTCCTTAGGTGAGCGCCTCTCCCCAAATATCAGGAAATTGAAATAGAGAGTATGCTATCAACTTTATTTTTTTATTTCTATGATATGAATAAAAAAATGTCTGCAAGGAATTGCCAAAACATTAAGGATGGTCATCTCAGTGTGGTTAAATTAGCAAAGATTTGTTTCTTTATTCTGTTTTTTAAAATTTGTGTATTTGCAGAGAAAGAGAGAGCACAAGCAGGTGGAGCAGCAGGCAGAGGGAGAGGAGAAGCAGGCTCCCGCTGAGCAGGGACCCCCCCCCCCCGCCCCAATGTGAGGTTCTGTCCCAGGACCCTGGGATCATTACCTGAGCCGGAGAGCAGACGCTTAACCAACTGACTAACTGAGACACCCAGGCGCCCCATTCTGTATTTCCTACAACAAGCTTATATTATTCAGAACACTACCATAAGCATGCATTACAGTAATACACTGCAGTTCTAAAAATAAGTATATCACTTAGAGAAAGAAATCAGTTACTTTTGGGAAAACAGTAGTGGTTCTTAGCCATGAAATAGGTATTCTGTGAGGGAAATGATATGCTATAGTGTGACTTGTATTCACGGGCTTGTCTAAATGTGTTTTACCCACTATGTTCCTGTTAGATTGAGGAATATAACTTTGCATTTTTTTTTAAAGATTTTATTTATTTATTCATGAGAGACAGAGAGAGAGGCAGGCTCCATGCAGGGAGCCCGATGTGGGACTTGATCCGGGACTCCAGGACCATGCCCTGGGCCAAAGGCGCAGGCATTAAACCGCTGAGCCATCCAGGGATCCCCCAACTTTGCATTTTTGATTGGTGGTTTATATGCTGAACAGGGCTGACTGAATCTCAGTCTTTTTCCAATTGTAAAATTTTTAGCATATAATCCTTTTTTGCATAGTCACTTCTATCAGTAGAAATCACAAATTTAGTAGACTAGAATGAAGCAGTAGTTTGGCGCTGGTTGTTGCACCCAGAAAAGGGTTGCAAACTTCAGACCTTGTTACTACTAATGTTATTTTTAACTTTTTCTATTTCTGTTTTTTTCTAGAGTGTTTCTAGGCTTCCAAACGTTAAGGAATGATGAAATACTATGTATTTATAAAGAGAAATATGTGGGAAATTATTGAAATTTGGTTAGGATCAGTTGGGATTTATGGACAAAGTAAACTTTGGATTTAGATTGTCTTTCTGCCATTCATAGCAAAGTTATTTTTGTAAAGAGGAACGTATATAAATCTTTACCAGGAAATTAATGTGACTATAAACTTTCTAAAATGTATGGCAGCATTGTAAGTCTTAACTAGACTTGTCTTTTTGACCCTCTAGAGTCCAGGACGATGTCTGGAGAACTTCCACCAAACATTAACATCAAGGAACCTCGATGGGATCAAAGCACTTTTGTTGGACGAGCCAATCATTTCTTCACTGTAACGGATCCCAGGAATATTCTGTTAACCAACGAACAACTAGAGAATGCAAGAAAAATAGTCCATGATTACAGGTAACATTTATGATTATGCTTTCTGATTAATACAGGAATAGGTCACCATGTTCGCCTATTGTCTTTAAACCTTCACTTAGTGATTTTACAACTTTTTTTTTGCAATGGAATCCTTTTTACCAAAAAAAGAGGAAATAGGAAGACATGTTCTATCCCCTGAGGCTGAGCCTTAATGCAGAGATCTGGGGTTCACAGTAACCTGAAAGTAAGATAGCTGTCCCTCCAACTCCTAGGTACCAATCTTGAGGTCCCCTTTCCCAACACTCTGCCTCCTATTCTCCAGGACGTCCCTGCATCTGTAGCACCCCCCTGTGTATCTCTCTGATGGAGATCTCATCATGCAGAAAGCAAGTTGTCAAGAATTAGAGAAGGTTGGTTGCTTGGAGATAAAACCTCAGTGAATAAACCTCACAGGTAGGAGCTCAGATGGAAAGATGCTGGTGGCAGGTTTGTAGGTTTGGGCTGCAGTTTGTCGATTCAAAGAGCCAGTCATGAAGTCAGAGAAGAGAGATGCTCTGATAAGGCAGAGTCACAACCGTCTAAAAGACCACATAAGAAATATTTCAGGCTTTGTGGGCCACAAAGGGTTTCTGTTCACTGTTTTTCTTATTTTATTTTTTTAACATCCTTTTAAAAAATTAAAAGCTACTCTTAGCTAGTGAGGCAGACAGGCCACGACAGTAGTTTACACTCTCCTGCTCTAAGGGAGAGTCAGTCAGAAGCTGGGAATTAGAACAGTGGGTGCTACACACCTGAACATGCCGTGAGCAGGGCACACAAGGTGGGTATTTGATGGACACATGAGTGGTTAGGGAAGGACCCAAGGCAGTCTGTAAAGTTTGTCGCCAAACACTGAGACTGGCCCAATCTTAGCACATGCCAGTGCATCAAGAGAGAATAGCCAGACAACAGAACACCTCGGAACCTCGTGTGAGAATACTGAAGAACAAGGCAGAACACAAGCAGAAGCACATGTCAGGAGTTCAGGAAAGCAGATGCTCTGTGAATCTGGAACAAAAGCCATAAAAAGGAGAGGTGGAGAGGAAAAAAGCTAGAGTCGTTGAAAAGATGACATACAAACATTGCAGAGAAGCTGACACTGTAAGAGCAAGAGGAGGGAGCAGTGCTAGAGGTGGAGCTGGGTGCTAGAGACAGACAACAGAGGCTACATCACTGCACATTTTCTAAAACTCATTAAATCATACACTTAGGATGGGTGACTTTGTTGCATTTAAATTATTCCTCAATAAAATTGATTTAATTATTCAAAAAAGGCGACGCTTCCCAATTCATTTGCAACACTGATCCTGTAAATGACAGAAGCACACTAAAAGAATGCAGTGGCCCATCTTGCAAATATGTAAAAATCCAAAATAAAATACTAGCATGTTAAATCTGTTTCATTAAACTATGAACAAGTCAGATTTGTTCCAGGAATACAAAGGTGATTTATTTTAGGACATCTATTAATGTAATTACACATCAAAGCAGGAAAGCATCTTGATAGATGCCGAAAGAAGGTAAAATTATCCATGTTTTTTTCAGAAAATAATCAGCGAGGAATAATGTACAGTATTTCTTACATATGATGAAGAATACACATCCCACATTAGCAGCCAGCATCACACTAAATAATGAAACAGTAGGGCTGAACTTTCCAGACAGTTCTGCAGAAAAGCAATCCTGTGGAATATTCCCCCCCCCAATACCAGAAAAGAGAGAGAGAAAGAAAGACAGAAAGAAAGGCAGAAGGACAAATAGAAAAAGAAAGAAAAAAAGAAAAGAAAAGAAAAAGAGGCTTCCAGAGTCAAATTTCGAAAGATTTATATCCCATCTTTTTTTTTTCCTTAAATTTTTATTTTTAAGTAATCTCCACACCCAACACAGGGCTGGAACTTACAACCCCGAGATCAAGAGTTGCATGCCTCACTGAGCCAGCCAGACGCCCCTACATCCCATTCTTAAGGATGTCACATCCTGTTGACTTTTGAGAGATTCCAGGAAGTATTAGAATAAAGAAAGCTGCCAGTCTGTTTTCCCAGACTTGAACATGGGACTTTTTTCTTTCCCGTAACACCTAATAACATCTAAGAGAATACACTCCTAAAAATCTTGTATTACAAGGCATTCTCTTAAAGTCAGGAGCAAGTCAGAATGCCTCTATCTTCACTATTGTATAACATTGTTCTGGAAGCCCTAATCAGTTCAGTAAGGCATAAAGAAATAAGGGCACCTGGCCGACTTACTGGTGGGGTCCTAAATTTGAGCCGCACATTGGGTATGGAGATTGCTTAAATAGGAGGGAAAGGAGATCTTAAAAACAAGAGACAATTTCTTTTTTTCCTCTCTCTTTTTTTTTCGCAAATGATGGTATTCTCACCAATCAACTAAAAAAACCAGTAGAACAAATAAGAGAATACAAGTGGGCTATACAGTTTCTTATACAACAGCAATAATCAGACAATATTTTTCAGATTTCATTCATAAGATTAAAAATATGTATATACCTATATATAAAATATCTGAGAATACACTTACCCGGAAGTGTGAAGCAGTTCCAAGACCGCTGGGGGGGGAGGGGTCATTAAAAGAAGCCTTTGGTAACTGGAGAAACATGCAGTAAGTCTGGATAGAAAGTCTTAATACAGTAGAGGTGTCAGCTCTCTCCAAATCAATACAGTTTCAGTCCAAATACAATTGTGCTCACCTGTAAAATTGACAGAAGAATTCTGAGCATTGTCCAGAAAATTAATGAGCATAACTCAGGCACTTTTGAAAGAGGAAAGGAGTCGTCGTGGCGGGAGAGACTACTATTCTACTGGGCACAGAATGGACTGTCAGAGGGTGGGCACGGGCCCCACAAGGTGAAAATAGTGGAAATTATAGAAAGCCCCAAAACCAAGCCCAGCATTCATGCATTCAGAGAATCTCAACTGATGATGACTATAGCATTTAAATCTTGGGTGTTAGGATGGCAGAGCAGCTAATGGGAAAGGCAAGTTAAGCAAGTTTCACATGTTCATATCTTCACATAAATTCCAAATAAATTAAGAACTTCAGAGACAATTAAAAAAAAAAACTGGTGGGTAGCCCTGGTGGCTCAGCGGTTTAGCGCCGCCTGCAGCCCAGGGTGTGATCCTGGAGACCCTGGATCGAGTCCCATGTTGGGCTTCCTGCATGGAGCCTGCTTCTCCCTCTGCCCGTGTCTCTGCCTCTCTCTCGCTCTCTCTGAATGAATAAATAAATAAATCTTTAAAAAAAAAAAACAAACTGGTAACAAAAGTGCAAGACATAGAGGTGAATATTTGTATAACCCTGAAGCAGGTCAGAACTTTCTAGGCAGAGACTTTATTTGTTCCTACCTGACTACATAAGATAAAAATGTTCAGGGGAGCAGATTACACAGCTAACAAGATTACCCACAGTGAGTCAAGTTCACATGTGAGCCGCTTAAACAGTGAGGATGCTGCCACCGCTGACGATCAACAGACATACTCGAGTACAGAAAAAGGACAAAAGGCGTATTCACAGCCTCAGTATTTTACACTTTTGTCTCAGCCAGTGTACTCATTTCTTTCTGATTAACCTTGGATGTGGGGCAAGATTTATTAATAAGGAGATTGACTTCCTCATCCTTTACAAATGGAAAAGATTAGAAGCAATTAAAGTGCCCACCAATAGGGATTGGGATAATCTACTATCTTATAATCGTACCGTGGGAACTGGAGCATTTAAAAGGATGATGTGTTACTTTTAAACTATTACTTCCACAAAGACCCTGATTCCAAATAAGGTCACAGTCTGAGGTTCTGGGTAGATATGAATTTGGGGGGATACTCTTCAACCCAGTATAGATGATATAGAAGAAGATCTGAAGAAACAGAAAAGTGTTTAAAAAATACTATTCATTTTAAAAAGGTCATAAAGCGATGGTATGGGGTTTATAGAGATCCTAAGTGACTTATACAGATCCTGCGAGACAAGTGGCAGTGTCTTCACAAAACAGTATAAGTACAAATGAGTAGTCAAAGGCTTGAATGGTTTTAATTGCACTAAGAGTGTCTATATTTTCTAAATTTTTAGCAATGAACATGTGTTTCTTTGATAACAAGATAAAATAATGAGCCTTTCTAATTAGGATTTCAAACTATAGGTATAAAAATGAATTCATGTTCTTAATTGCCTAACACAATTATCTATCTAATTGGTTGAAAATATTACAAGGTTTGCAAAGTTCAAAAAGTGTTTTTAAATATATCATTTAAAACAAAGAATATTTCAAAGTTGAATACTTCAAGATACAAGATAAGTTTTGTTTTTCAAAATTACAAAATTTGAGATACATGGGTTTGAAATCTTTTGTGTTACTAAAATTCACTGCAGGCATAGTTGTTTTAGGTAAGGGTAAACTTAAAAACTTTCTAGCTATACGTCTCTAGAGCACTGGTGAGATATTTGAAATGAATGGTTCTCTTGCTATTTCTTATTTCCCTAGGCAAGGAATTATTCCTCCAGGTCTTACAGAAAATGAATTATGGAGAGCAAAGTACATCTATGATTCAGCTTTTCATCCCGACACAGGTGAAAAGATGATTTTGATAGGAAGAATGTCGGCTCAGGTTCCAATGAACATGACCATCACAGGTTGTATGATGACATTTTATAGGTAAGTAATTAAGTGTAATAACAGCAATTCATTTTATAGTACAGAAGCTTAAAGTACATTTGTGTACGTAAATAGTTTTATTGAAATGAATGTCATTTCACATTGAGTTCCATTTTATATAAATGTCACAACTCTAGGGTTTTTTTGTTTTTTTTTTAAACTTTTCCCTGTGCTAAATGAATAGTATTCTCTTTGTTATTCAAAAGGAGACTGAATTTTTCCCTAACTCTTACATCCAAAAGAAAATGAGATGGAGAAAGAAAATTAAAAAGTCGCTAAGCAAATTCTCTTTTTAATCCATTCATAAGATACAAATATAAGTGTAGGTGTGGCCATAGACAGACATTTAGGCTTGCATGTGCCATTAGGAGGGATCAGGGCTACTTCACCTACAGATGGCTTGTTTTTTCCCCAAGAGAAGGCACCTGACATTTGTTGAGTGCCTACTGTATGCCAGGCTCTCTACAGAGTTAAGATCAAATTTAAGGAAGGTAACTTGATCCTCACTGTAAACCTTTTGAGGTTAGTGTTAACCCTATCTAAAGAAGGAGGATACTGAGAATCAGAGGATGGACACCTGCCCCACCACACAGGTCCAAAGCCTTCGACGCAGAACGCAGGGTCTTTGACCTAGCGTACTCCCTCGGCAGTCCATCTCCTCTGTGGTTACTGGTGTTCACATTTTTTGTCCTGCACAGCGGCTAGATCACAGGCGATGGCCGGTATGTGATGGATCACTCTGTTTTAGGACCACACCGGCAGTGCTGTTTTGGCAGTGGATCAACCAGTCCTTCAATGCCGTGGTCAATTACACCAACAGAAGTGGAGACGCTCCCCTCACTGTAAAGTAAGACTGGACCAGTTAATGGTTCTCTGTTCCTCAGGGTGCATTTGGTTCAGCGGTATATAAGCTGTTGATTTGTTCGGAATATCAGGGGGCATATTGTACAGTAATGTTTCTTCTCCTCCCTTCTTATCAAGATGATTGTTCTCAGCCTGCCTTCTCAGACATAACTCATGCTGTTAGGCAGATTTGTCTCCCACATCCTCAGGCTCCCCCTGCAGAACACATTTCTGGGAGTTCAGGACCCACCTGTGGCAAATGATAAGCTGTGCCCTCACCTACCCTGAGCCTGTGGCCAGATAACAGCATCAAAAGTAGCGGCGTCCATAGTGTGATTTCTGCAGAAACCAAGGAGATTTGTCTTTACATAAGCCAAGTATAGAGCCAAACAGAAGGTGAATAAGTTTAAAATGTTACCTCCTGTAAAAAACTGTTTGAACAGGCTTAAGTGATTAGTGAGCCAAAACTTTTAGCTCAATTTGGAGAATACTTCAAAAGTGTTTTCTTTATTTGTCACCTTTAAATGGCTTTGGACAGTCCATTGTCTTCCCTTGTCACCATATGAAACAAAGGCTATGGAAATCTGCCATTGGCAGTGTTTATCAAACCTTCATTTCTTGCAACCCCTTGAATTAACACTTATTTTATTTATATATTTTTCTTACACAGCATACAAGGGGGCGGGGTGTGGACAGAGGGAGAAGGTTAGACAATCTTAAGTAGGCTCCGTGCCCAGCAGGGAGCCCAGCATGGAGTTCGATCTTACAGCACTGAGATCATGACCTGAGCCGAAACCAAAAGTTTTAAGATTTTATTTATTTATTTATGAGAGACACCGAGAGAAAGACAGAGACACAGGCAGAGGAAGAAGCAGATTCCCCTCAGGGAGCCCATTGAGGGACTCGATCCTAGGACTCCAGAATCTCAACTTGAGCCAAAGGCAGATGCTCAACCGCTGAGCTACCCAGGTGCCCCAAGAGTCAGACACTTAACTGACTGAGCCACCTAGGTGCCCCTAAAAGTTACTTTAAAATAGAAGGGAAGAGCAGTGCCTAACTGCCTGTTGAAGATGGGACTTTTAGTACTTCTATACCATAACTTATAATTTTAAGAACAGCATTGTACTTTTACTTCCAGTATGTATATTTATAATTTTGAGAAGTACTTTTTATTTAAGCAGATGCTGCCCACACTTAGGCCAAGATGCTTTTTCCTGCTCGCTCGCAGCCCCCTCTGTCCGCCCCCAGGGCCCGTTCCCTAGGGCCGCTTGCCGTAGGTGGTGGTGGGCTTGTCTGCAAAAAATGCCACTCTTCCAGGGTCTGCTTGCTTCCCTACTATATGTGTCTGTGAAGCGATCATGAGTGTTGTTTTGTGGGATCTTCCTTCATAATCATGCTCTTTCACTTTCCCCCTCGTTTCTTCCAAAAAATGTCAAACCCGGGTTTCTTGACGTGCAACTTGTTTTTCACACACTGCTCTTTCTTTTCAGTGAATTGGGAACAGCTTATGTTTCCGCGACAACTGGTGCCGTAGCAACAGCTCTAGGCCTCAATGCATTAACCAAGGTACTTGGATTATTATTTCCCTAGTAAGACTTCTTAATTTGTCCTCACCTGCCTGGCTCCAAGTCTCTCGATTATTTCCCAAAAGAGTTCAAGTCCTGGGACTTTCTTATTACCATCATTGTCTTCACCTATGTATCTCACTTGGGCCTTCCAATGAACTGGGGAAGGTCTGTCACTGGCGACATCTGCCAAGCCCCTGCTCCATCCTTGGTACTGGGTCCCACATGCTCAGTGTTCCCTGACCCTAACTGCCCACTAGAGGCTGTGTGCCGATGAGTGTACCAGCACCCACACCTCTGGAGAAGAGCAGATGCCAGCACCTGAACTCAAGACCCTAGTCCATTAGGCAGGCCAATCTGGCCAGTGTCTTGGAAGTGTGCCTTATCCCAGTTGCCCATACTGGAAATAGACAAACACCACCAGGAAACAAATTTTCAAAGTACTCCTGGCCTGAGCTTCCATATAAAGAAGACTGTTTTTAGCAGATTTCAAGAAGAAATAAGTATTTTGCATTTGGTCATACGGGCAAAATGTAAGATAATGCTTTTGGGATTTTTCTTTCTGCAGCATGTCTCACCTCTCATAGGACGGTTTGTTCCCTTCGCTGCAGTAGCTGCTGCTAATTGCATTAATATCCCCTTAATGAGGCAAAGGTAAGGTTCCTATGTAGTCTTAGAAAAGACTGGTGCTTGACAAGAGAGTGTTGTAATAAGTTTTGTTGAAACTTTTAACAATTTGTTTTAATTTTTATAGATGGAATTATATGGGACCTGGGGTTGTTTCAGAGTAATGTGTCATGGGCACAGGGATGGGTCCATTTGTGAAACAAGCTTAGCCATCAGTTGCTAATTATTGAAGTAGGATGATGAGTGTAGGGAGGGTGGTTAGAAGACTCTCCCTGCTTCTGTGTAATAAAAAGTGTAAAACATATATCTCAAACTAACATGTAGCTGTTCTAGAGCTAGGCAAAGAAGGTCTATACACAGAAAGTTTATTTCCTAAAATAGGTTCTCCCCTTCCCACTCTAGAACTGTCCTATTGGGTTTAAAGTAATATTAATCCATATTTTTGGAAGTATTCTATAGAACTGGCAAAAATTAAATGAGAAGAAAGAATAAGAAAAAGCATAATGAAAAACAGGGTAGCAATAGGAGCTATAATTTTAGTGTTAGTAACTAGAATTAAATATCTAGTAGTGCCATATATTAGTGATTCCTATGTCAGGATAGTTAGTTTACTTAATAATGCCATATATTATATTTATCTCTCATTTGGAAAGTTGTTCAGATTTGCACTTGAGCATAAAAATTAGCCTTATCTTTAAGTTAGCATATTCACCCTTTAAGTTATATTGTTATTAAAAATGTAACACCTTTTTAAAAATAAATAAATATATTTTTAAAAAGTAACTTTTTTTTAAATGGAGTTTACTAGTGTTATTTTATTTTTTTTAAGATTTTATTTATTTATTTATTTATTTATTTATTTATTTATTTATTTATTAGAATGCACGTGCAGGGGAAGGGGCAGAGTGAGAGGGAGAGAATCTCAAGCAGACTCCTTGCTGAGTGGAGCCTGACACCAGGCTTGATCCCACAACCCTGAAATCATGACCTGAACTAAAATCAAGAGTTGGATGCTCAACCGACTGAGCCACCCAGGTGCCCTGTGTTATTTTACTTTTATGCCTATCACATAAGGATTAGACTTGTTCATGGTATTAAAAATAGACCTATTAGGGCAGCCCCAGTGGCTCAGTGGTTTAGCGCCGCCTTCAGTCAAGGGCCTGATCCTGGAGACCCGGGATCAAGTCCCGCGTCGGGCTCCCTCTTCTCCCTCTGCCTGTGTCTCTGCCTTTCTCTCTCTGTCTCTCATGAATAAATAAATAAAATCTTTAAAAAAAAAAACAGACCTATTAGTGCTAAAAATGACACTTGAGTGGGTATTAGGATTAAGTAAGGACTTGATCTTCCATGACCCAGTGCTCTTTCCAACCGTTTCATGAAGGCATCTGTGAACTTCTTTGCATGTGTTTTACTCGGCAGGGAACTCAAAATTGGCATTCCTGTCACAGATGAGAACGGGAACCGCTTGGGCGAGTCGGCCAATGCTGCAAAACAAGCCATCACACAAGTAGTCATCTCCAGGATTCTCATGGCAGCCCCGGGCATGGGTTAGTAACTCTTTGTCAGCGAGCCCTGGCTGTAGTCTGAGGGGCAGGAAGCCACAAAGCAGTTTAAGCAGGGGAGTGGTGTAATTCGTAGGCTTTAGCTGCCTGACATTGGGTACTGTGTCAGGAGCAGAGTGAAGAGGGCCAGTCGTGATGGTTGGAGACTGGCCAGGAACCTGGGTCGCTATAGCAGGCCAGTGATAGAGCTGGTGTGGATCAGGGTAGTGACAGAATGGGTCAGGAGAACTTGAAGGCAAAGAATTTGATTTTTGTAAATCGTAAAAAACTTCTAAAAGTTCTTGAATCAGAATAATTTTTACTGAAGATTTATTTGTATTGATGAGAAACTCTTAGAATACAAACCAAGTTGGGTTGGTTAGAGCAGCTATTAAGATGTATGCCAAGTTTCTACTCAGTTTTGTCAATAGAGCTTGGAGTTAGCATAATCCACAGCCAAAATCTATCCTGTATATAGTTCCTCTAAGACTCTGAGCCCACTCCTAGGGTTTCCCACAGGTACCCTCAGACCAAAGGCTAAGAAAAGATTCTCAGACTTACCCAGAAACCAGAGGGCCTTGGAAGTCTAATGCTCTTTCCAGAAAAAGGTTGAAATTAATATGATTGATTTTATCATCTAAATACAAAAAGCACCTGGCTATTAACCAAGCTCTCACAGGACACATACTTAATCAGTTGCCATCAGGTTGTCCTGCTAGTATCTCTTCTTGTCTTTGAGTTCCTTTTGTCATTATGAATCTCATCAGTGGACCAAAGTTGAAGGAAAGAGCCTGAAGGAAAACTTCAAGGAACTGTATAATGGCATCAGTTACAATCACAGATAATTGGGATGATCTGATTGAGCCACCATTAATTGATGGAACAAAGGAACCCTTTGGCACCCTCATGAGACAGCAGTGTGCACTATGGGGGGGTGGGTGCCCTGTGGGAACCACAGTCGTGAAACAGACCAGGTCCCCTGAGTCTGGCACCAGCACAGGGTCGCTAACCTATGAGGAGCTGCAGCACCTGCCCCAGCATGCCTGCTGAGCCCAGATTTCCAGATCCTCCTAAATCAAACTTGCAACTCCAGCTTCTACCCTGCATTTGCATTTGCTTTTGGTTTTGGTTTTGTTCTTTCCCATTTTGAAAGATAAGGTTCCCCTTTGGAGTTCAGCCAGCCCAATGGATCTATTTCTAGAGGCTTGGTTATTTTATTTAAAAAATATTTTTTATTTTATTTATCTCTTTACAGTTTTATTTATTTATTCATGAGAGACACAGAGAGAGAGAGGGGCAGAGACACAGGCAGAGGCAGAAGCAGGCTCCATGCAGGGAGCCCGATGTGGGGCTTGATCCCAGGATTCCAGGATCATGACCTGGGCCAAGGCAGATGCTCAACCACTGACTGACCCAGGCATCTCGAGTCATGGTTATTTTATTTTATTGTATTTTATTTTTTATTTATTTATTTTTTTTTTTTTTGAGTCTTGGTTATTTTAAACATAATTTAGTCCCTGGAGAAGAAACACAACTTTTGGGTCCCAGTAAAATCTATGGAGGTAGTTGCCATATTGAAGTGGTTGCTGTGACAGTCTGATAGAAATTGTGAGTAAATAATAAATGAATTACCAGTACCCAAAGTGCATTACTGTCTCTAACCATCACAACCAGTGTAATAGAATTCTCCCCATTTTATAGATGAGGAAAACAGAAAACTCAGGCTCAGAGAAGTTAGATAACTTTTCTAGGATCACTCAAGGCAGAAATCTTTTTTCTTTTTTTTAAGGCAGAATCTTTATATGGAATGCCACGTGGGATGGATGCCTGGGGGAGGTTGCATTTGTTTTATTAGTACAGGAGGGAGAAGTTCCTGATGTTTGTACTGTTGTATATTTAAAGTTAAATGTAAAGTTCTCTACAAGATTATAAAATTTTCTGGCTGGTAAAGGGCATTACATTGTTTTTAATTTCTTTTTAAGATTTTATTTACTTATTCATGAGAGACACAGAGAGAGGCAGAGAGAGAGGCAGAGACAGGAGAAGCAGGCTCCATGCAGGGAAGCCCGATATGGGACTCGATCCTGGGACTCTGGGATCATGCCCTGAGGTGAAGGCAGAAGCTCCACTACTGAACCACCCAGGCATCCCAATTTTTTTTAAATACTCGAGTATTTTAAAGACTTATTGCAAATAATTTCACTCTGCCAGTGTGAAAATAGCCCAAAAGTGACGTGAGTCTTTTATAAAACTGTTGAAAAAGACGTGAGCTGAAAATAAATATTAAAGACTTAAGCAGATCTATCTTTACTTACAGCCATCCCTCCATTTATCATGAACACTTTGGAGAAGAAAGCCTTCCTAAAGGTAAGCCCTGCTTCTATTAATCTTTGTCTCAATCCTTTCAGTTCCTTTTCAGACTTCAAACTATACAGAATATTTCCTACCCAGTGAATAAAGAATTTGAAGGCCATTGGCACTTGGGCACCCACGTAAATAAAAAGATATTTCCAGGAACATTTTACTTCTGATCCCAGAAATTTGAAAAAGCTTTCATAAATGAAAGCGGCTGCCCACTCCTCTTGAGGTGTTATACTCAGTTACACACTTATCTTAGTCATCACCTAGGTACCTAGTTAGGTGATAATGAAGAGATAGTGTGAATTTGGAATGATGTGTTTATAAGTCATTGTAGATATTATTAGAAATGGAAAGAGTTTGGAGTGGTAGCTTTGTAGAACCCTGTATATATTTCCAGTATATTTTTGTTTGGTGATCATGTGTAGTAATTCATTGATCTATCAGCCACCTCCTTCCAAGGTCTGAAAGTACTACAGGATGAAACTCACCAGGGACTCTCAATGCTTGGCATTGCTTTTGTAGTTTCCACAGCTTAAAGCAATAGTGATCATGCATCCCTTATATTTTCCAATTCTTTAACAAGTGGGATACAGTAGAATAGGGTGACTCACTTGGCTCATGTGGTTGGAAAGCGGCATTGTTAGATCTGATAGGAGAAAGGAGCCAGCCTCTTTGCTGGAGGAGCGGGTGTGTTGTGGGGAGGACCATAGCTCTCTTGAGGTGAATTGTTTCGGGTCTTAGAAACAGAACTGTGACACTGAGGGGACACTATAAAGCTTCAAAAAAGGACATAGTTCACAGGCCAAACACTTCCTGAATAATTTCATTCATTAGGAGTATTCTAAATGTGCAACAGATATGTTCACTGACCCATATACTCCCCCTGGGCTCCAGAAGGAAAGCTACAGTCAGTACTAAGGGAACACTTCATAACCACTTTCAATATAATTATGTTCTTAGATAAGTAAGCCAGAAAGTCTGCTATGAGGAACCAGTAATGCTGAGTGCCTCATTTGACCCACGTATCCAAGTTGTTACCTGTCAATGCACCAACCACATGTTAGCAAAAGGGGACCCTCTCTCTAGCACCTTTTCTCATAATCTTTCTTGGGAGCTTTGGGCACATGGAAGAGTTCTCTTCCCTGAGTGCATCCTCCTCTAGCAATCATAGACATCAGTGTGAATTGTACAATTGAGTGTCATAGTGACTCTGTAGGGACTGATCTGTCCCCCAATACAAAATGGTCATATGTATGTATGTGCACAAATATATATATGCAGTAAAGCTATTGATATAGACCAGAATGTCACTGTGGACTCCCCCAACATTTTACCTACTTGACTAAGCTCTTATTTTGAGAATTAATGAAAAAGTTGCCCAAATCTCTTTCTGGTGCAAAGCTTAGAAAAGATTGACTCTTAAAAGATGCTAATGGATTAGTTTATGTACTTGAACAGTGACTGTATCCTAAAACTACCAAATTATACACACATTTGGAATTCATCAGCTTTGATGTCTGAGTGGTTTTCAGATAATCTGAAAAAAATTCATCTTCTGCCCTCTATCCATCCCTGCTCCACTTATAGGAAGTGATTCAGGCTTTGAAGAAAAAAAAAACAATCAAATTAATTGAAATGGGATTTGTCAGCATCACTCTCCAGGATGCCAGTAGTAAGTGGTCCATCTAGTACATCCATAACTATGCAGACATTGACTTTTGATGCCCTGTATTCTCCTCTATTGGCTCTTGATCAGGAAGGTGCTAGGCTTATAGTAGCTTGGCAAGAACATGTGTTGACCCAGGCAATCTTTTGACTTACCTGGTTGGTTAGCTCCTAAGGTAGTGGCCCGCCAACCTCAGGAGCAGTGAAGGACCACAATAAAACTAAAACCCCCCTCCCTCCTGCTGAATTAAAGCAAAAACTCAGGTTTTTAAAGCAAGACTAGCTGTCTAGGTCAGTTATGAGGCTTGGAAATTGTCACCTGATGTTAGTTTGTCTGACATAAAAAGTGACAGCTTTTGCAAGAAAGGAGTAATAAAATGCGGCTCTTTCACCAGTAGTGTAACAGGGTTATGATTGTTGTGAATCTTCAGGTATCTGTGAAAGCAGATGGGAGGCCACTTCCAGTGGTAGCATCCCCACTGCTGAAGCCTTCCTGCTCTCTTCTCTCCACCTTTCAAATGTCACCCAACACCTCTTTAGCAGAAGGATCTCTGCAACCTGGCTCTGGAGCTCAGAATCTTGCCACCTGCCCCTGTGGATGGCACTTTATTCTACAGACTCTGGCTCTGGCCTTTGGGCACTTAGCACACTCTAGCCGCTAATATGTATCCTGATCATGGCTGGATTCCATTCTAGAAGGAAGTCTGTATTTGAAGCTCTATTAATGCTGAAAAGTTAGGTCACTGGGGAAAACACAAAATGACGTTTGGTACATTATTATTCTCCTAATGTAGTCATACCTTGGTGCTCCTGGGGTCTCAGCATTGTTGGAAAAGTTGCTCTGGTTACTCTGACCTCCGAGTGACAACACTGGACAGAAGACCTAGTTGGGCATCCCGCATCATTTTCTTGCTATGACAGATAGAAATTGCTTGGAGATGCAGTCTAATAGCATTTCCTGTGTGAAGGAGCCAGCAAATGATACAAGCAGTGAGCCACCCATTGCCACTCTGTTGTGGGCTTTTTCACATTAATAAATGAATTTAGATTGTTTTCCTTCCTCATCTGTTTGCAGTTTTTGGCTTTGCTTGATACTGCTTGATACTTCAGTAGTAACTTGGAGGCGTGCCACCTCACCGGTCCTTCACGAAGAAGTGCTCCGCCCGCCCCACTCTCCTCCAGTGAAGAGCCTCCCCCAAAGCTGGGAGAGGAGGCTGCCAGCCTCAGAACCCCTGTGGCCAAGGCCAGAGCGGTGGTCAGAGTAGCTCATGAATCAGTCCCAGTGTCCCGCTAGTTGCAGGGGGTTCGGTTGTAGCTGTGCTGCTTTATACCTCAGTGGAGAATGTTGCTTTGAAAAAGAAATGGCTGAATGTTGAGTTATTCGTACACACATACCACTCCCAAGTGCAGCATTGCCTTTACAGTACTGCCTTTCATTGCCTGAAATACTGCATTTTGCCCTTGGAGAGAATTCCATAATAGGACTTAACTGTTAGCATAGCTGTTACTAAGACACAGGTAGAGGTGGCTTGTGTTAATATCCATACATTTCCATCTTCAGAGCACTTTCACATGCATCTTGAAAGGCAGGCTTTACCGTGTGCCTTTGACAGAAGCTCCAGGGATCATTTTTCCGGCAGCTCATAATGTCCACGTGGGTGGTGTTGGCCTCACTTGGCCCCCTGGTTGTCCCACAGCTCAGCGGCTAGATGTGCGCCTCCGTAAGGATGTACTTATCTGGCTTTTACCTTGGACGTGACCAAACTCCTCTGCAAACATGAAACAATTTGAATATTCTTGGCTTTTTTAACAGTAAGCTTGGGGAGCATTCAGGATGACTCATCCCTCCCCCTGTGCCTTATCTTTTCCCAAGTGGAGTGCTGGAAAAAAGCCTCAGCGGTGGGCAGGTGACTCACAGAAATCTTTGCAATGAACTAAAAAGCTCACTACCTAAAATTTGGCGCTTCAAAGAATGGTGTTCTTGAAGAATAACTCCTGTGGCCTCTTCACCTTGTTGGCACTTTCATTGGGAATAAGTAAAGTTAATATGGTTTGGGTCAGATGATAGTTCCTCATTCCTTAAGTTCTTCTACTTCCATATTCCCTTTAATAAAGGTGGACTGCTCTGTCTACTCAGTAGATTTTCAGGACTTTCCATTAGTTAAATGTGAGTGTAGCATTTATTTGTCCATTCACTCATTTATTTACTCAGCTGTCTTTCGCTGAGTGCCTGTTATGTGCCAAGCAATGTGCTAGGTGCTTGAGTCGTAGAAATAGGGCTTGAGCCTTGCTCACGGGGACCTGATAGCATAGTGATGGGAAGAGGCACAGGGCAGTGGTTCTAATACTTGGTGATTGGAGCACAAAGGGAATAGAAGAGGTGTCTCCCTCAACTACAGGGGGCAGCAGAGACTTGAAGAGGACAGGTCAAGGGTACATGCTTTGCAGAAGCTCAGAGAGGACACACAGCATGGCTTACTGGGAGACTTGTGGATGGCCAGTTGCCTGGCACGTGGGCCATGTATAGGGAATTGACTATGCCATATATAAAAGTTAATTCGCCATGATTCCTAGACTCTAAATATAAAAATCTACAACTATAAAACTTCTGGCAAAAAATATAATAGATCATTTCTGAGATCAAGAGTTAGGCCAACATCAGAAAGGATGAATATCCACCATTTGCTTCAATGTGGATGGAACTGGAGGGTATTATGCTGAGTGAAATAAGTCAGCTGGAGAAAGACAGTCATCATATGGTTGCACTCATATGTGGAATATAAGAAATAGTAAAAGGGACTATAAAGGTAAGGAGGGAAACTGAGTGGGGAAAAATTAGTCAGGAAAACAAACTATGGGATCCCTGGGTGGCGCAGCGGTTTGGCGCCTGCCTTTGGCCCAGGGCGCGATCCTGGAGACCCGGGATCGAATCCCACGTCAGGCTCCCGGTGCATGGAGCCTGCTTCTCCCTCTGCCTGTGTCTCTGCCTCTCTCTCTCTCTGTGTGACTATCATAAATAAATAAAAATTAAAAAAAAAAAAAAGGAAGACAAACTATGAGAGACTCCTAACTGGGAAGCAAACAACTGGTTACTGAAGGGGAGGTGGGTGGAGGGGATGGGGTCACTGGGTGACAGGTACTAAGGAGGGCACTTGATGGGATGAGCACTGGGTGTTATACTCTATGTTGGCAAATTGAATTTAAGTAGAATATTTTTTTTAAAAAGAGGCCAAGATTTCTTAGACATAATAGCAAAGGCAGTCCATAAAAGAAAACTCAATAAATTGGACTTCATCAAAATGGTAAAATTCTGTTTTTTGAAAACCATGATGATGAGACAAAAAGAGTGGGAGAAAATCTATACAAAGCTTGTATTTGTTTTTTTTTTTTTTAACAAAGCTTGTATTTGATAAAGGATTTATACCCAGAAGATATAAAGAACTCTCAACACTCATTTAAGAAAACAAGCCAGCTTAAAAAATAGGCAGAATGGATATTTTACCAAATACGTATCTATATCAAATAAACACATGGAAAAATGCTCAGTATCTTTATTTGCTGTGGAAATTCACCTTAAAACTACATGAGCTACCACTAAACACCTATAGGAATGGCTAAAATCAAAAGGACTGACCATAGAATGTGTTGATGAGGATATAGAGAACTGAAACTCTCATATCCTGCTGGTAGGAATGAAAAGTGGTACAACTTTGGAAGATAGTCTGGTAGCTTCTTAAAAAGTGTAACAGACACTTACCATCTAATCGAGCCATTTTACTCCTAGCTGTTTACCTAGGAGAAATGAAAGTGTATGTCCATAAAAAACGAAGGGTTCACAGCAGCTTTATTTGCAATAGCCAGACTCTGGCAACAATTCTGATGTTCATCAGCCAGAGGATAGATTATCAAATTGCACTGTGCCCATGCAACAGACTACTTCGTTCAGCAAGGAAAGGTAGTGAGCTGTTGATACATGCAACAACCCAAATGAATCTCAAAATGATTATACAAAAGAATAGATACCGTACATAAAATGCTAGAAAAATATAACCTGTTATATAGTGACAAACAGGAGAGCAGAGATTGCCAGGGCCCCATTCCTGGGGGGTAGGGTTTAGGAAAGAGCAGAATTGCCAAGAGCACAAGGAACAAGGAAAGAATTAAGAGTGACAGATATGTTCTTACCTTGATCATGGAGATGGCTTCACAGCTGAATACATATATAAAAACTCACGTTGTACACATCAAATATGTGTGCAGTTTACTGTCAGTAAAGTTATTAGAAAAAAAATCATGGCAGAAGGAAGACTTTAGTCATAGTAAACTTTTTGAGCTTTTACCTCATTAAATTTAGATCTTTTTAACTTAGATTACTGTCTTTAATTCATTGGAACTTTTATTTACAGTTTCCTCTGTTTGCACAATTCTAAGTTTGTGAGTATGTAGGGGAAGATCAGACAACCACAGCTCACTCACTGAGTCTCAGGCTAAGTGGTATTTAAGAAATAGGGATGAATTAAGTGGATGGGGTGCCGGAGAGGAGTCGGGAGATGGGATGACGTCCAGCTTACGTTAAGTCAGAATTCTCTAGGATCCTTGTCGTTACTGAGAGCCTTTCCATCAAAACTATTGGCCTCGTTTTCTCTTTACACATCCTTCTTTGAGATTACTTGCAGCTGTTCCCTGGGATAATAGGTGAACCCTGTTTGCTTTAGACAAGAGTCCACTTGAAATACGAAGGCCACCCTCAGGGGCTCAAGTTCATCCTCTACAAAATCTCCTTCAGTACTTAGTTGGCTTTCCCATCACCCACGGCAGATGTCACATGTCGCAGAAGTGCCAGGACAAGGATTTACATCTCCTTATGAAAATCCACCATCATCACGTGAAGCCAGTTGGCCAAAATACAATATGATTTTTTCTTGCTGTCCTTTGAGGGGTGGGTCTGTCCCCTCTTGATGATGTTTCTCCCTTCCTCTCTAGTATATGCCTCTCTCCCCTCATGTTAACCTGTGTGACGTACCTTTTCGCCAGAGGAGTCTTCTCAGGGACCAGGGTACGCCTCTCATGCAAGCTTCTTTGGGATCATGATATTTTAACAGCTTGAGTTGACTCTGCACTAAGTTGGCTGATTTCATAACAACCAGTTCATAACTCAGATACCACTGTTTCAGGGGCCTTGTTTCTAGAACCATCTATCCCAACTTTCTCCATATTGCATGTTTTGTTACCACTCCTTTTTGAAAACTAAAAATCTAACAATGCTTATTCTCCAAAAGACCAATCAACTCTTTCATTTCCATTTTAAGAAAAAGTGACAGGCAACATTTTTCTGTGCCAGCAATAGTTTTAGCCATATTGATAGCAACTAAAACCAAGAAAGGGAAGCTGCAGGGGAGGAGAGAAGTGTTTTGCTGGGTTTCTGCTACGCTTCTGGCAACGTCCTAGGTGCTTTACGAATGTTACCTGGCATATGTCCCACACACTTTAGGCAACTGCTGGGATCCTCGTTTTTCAGATAAGGAAACCAAAGCTTGGAGAGGTTGAGCTCTACCTGCCTCTGTCCCCACAGTCTGGAATGAGATGGCAGGGCAGAAAGTTGAGTTCAGGTTTGTCTGTCTTCAAGCCCTGGCACCGAGCTATACTGCCTCCTCAGCCAGGAGGTGAGTTACAACTAAATAGTAATGATTTCTCTACCTGTTTAGAGCCCTGCATCTCCAGACAGTATGTGTAAGAGACAAAAACTGAGAAGCCACTTGATCTTTGCATGTGCATTCATTGACAGATCAAGGAGGCTATAGGAGTCAGGACTAACATGCTTGTTGCAGTGTGACCCCCAAATTTCACTAATCTGGATCTTGTAACATGAGAATTTCCTTCCTATTAAACAGTAAAAGAAATGATCTTTAAGAGCCTGTATAAAAAATAATAAAAATGATACATTTCTCAATACAGAGGTTCCCATGGATGAGCGCACCTATTCAAGTTGGATTAGTTGGCTTTTGGTAAGTGGGATTACTTTTATATAATTAATTTCTTTTTTTAAAGGTAAATAAACAGCATATGAAAGGTGAAGGAACGGGTGGATAGGGTTTTGAATGTGAGACTATCCCAGAACATCTGGAACGTATGGTTCCAACAATTAGATAGAGGTAAAGAAAAACCTTTTTAAAAATTATTTTGACAGTCCTTGGTAATAAAAGTATACAAACAGGACATTTTTTATAAGGAAATAAAATGCTTAAAAGAAAGGGGATTGTTAGAAAAGTAAAAAAGGAATCTGAAAGTCATCCATTTGAAAAGGCTCTGATTTGCTCTTTTCTTTCTTTTTTCCAGTTTGGTATTTGCTACACCTCTCTGTTGTGCTTTGTTTCCTCAGAAAAGGTATGTACTTGCTGTTCTTTGGAATGATCACCAGGTTTCTTCATCCTAAAAACCAGTTGAAGATGCAGGTGCTGTTACTGTTTCATTTGTAGGGAAGTCAAGATTCAAAAAGATGAATGAAGCCAAGTCTCTAAAAGGAAGAGATGGAGGTGGAAAAATCAAACACACATCTGTTTAATTTCAAAACTCTCTTTATGCAGCTCCACCATGACATTTGAAAATGTTTTATTCTTTTGGAAGAGTCAGGTTAACTCTGGCACAGATTCACTTTTATAAAAAATTTGAATATGACCTGTTGTCATCCAATCCATTGGCAAATGCAGCTTGTAACACAGAAATATCAGAATTTAAGATCCGCCCCAGGGACAGTAGTTATACACTTACTCTCGGTGCTTGGTTTATTTGCTGTCCTTCTTCCTACATAGTTTTTTGCCTGCCAATCCTTACTGTGTATTTCTATCATAAGCCACCCTTAAATCCCGCTTTTGATGGAAGAATGGGATCGATGGGCGTTAAATCAGCATGGGATAATTCTAGGTCTCCAGCCTCTTCCTGATCTGACATGAAAGCACCAAGAGCAGCATTTTGTTTTGCTTTTGTTGAAGGGTTCCCAGGGTCCTGCCTTGGTCATACCCCCATGTGCCAACAGGCCCCAAATATATGGTCCATAAGGCCTAGGGTTTCAAAGGACAATGAAGTGTGTTTGAACTAACTTTATTAGGTCCGCTCTACCTGACAGAGAACTCCACCTTTTATCTGCTCTTTCACTTCAGTCTTTGACTCCTACTGGTCTTAAATAGGGCATTGAATCTCAAGGAGAGGAAGCCTCGGATCCCCTTGCTGCCTAGAGCCATACCCCTCTGGGAGGGGGCAGGGCCTTTGCAACCTATTCTCTAAACCCAATACAGACATGTTTCCTCAAATCCAAAAAGGAGGAATTATACTTGTTTACTTGTTCAAACCCCATAATCTCAGGCCTTAACATAAGAAAAATTTATTTCTCTAGTATATAACAGTATCCAATAGTTGACCTTTTACTCAGTGACTTAGAAAAAGTGTATGTGAAATGTTGAGAACACCTAATACAAGGTAAGCTCTAAATAAATATAGCTGTTATAATTTTGAGATTAAAGGATTTGAAAATCCATAAAGGAGCTTCCTACATAGGCCTCGGTTTAAGTGAAGTTTATTCCTGATTTCTTGCTTATACATATGTTTATTTTTCTTTTTGTTTCTTACTCATTAGTTGCATCAAATAGAATTACTCTTTTTTTTTTTTTTTTTTTTAATAGAATTACTCTTAATCCTTGGTTCATTACACACTGTCCTTTTTGGTCCAAGAATGACCCTACTTTGTTTACTTTAATGATACCATGAACATCCATGAACCCACTGCCCATTCATGAATAAAAATTCTATGTTTTTGTAGGTTCTACCCAGCCCATACCCCTCCCTCCTGCAGATTTAACCATTATGCTGAGTTTCATATTTATCGTACAATTTCATTTAAAATTTTATTTATTTATTTATTTATTTATTTATTTATTTATTTATTTAAGATTGTATTTATTTATTCATGAGAGACAGAGAGAGAGAAGCAGAGACATAGGCAGAGAGAGAAGCAGGCTCCATGCAGGGAGCCCGATGCAGGACTTGATCCCGGAACTCCAGGATCATGCCCTGAGTTGAAGGCAGGCGCTTAACCACTGGGCCACCCAGGGGTCCCATATTACATTTATATATTTATTTCTCATGTAGTTTAGTTTTGCCTCCTTGGGAACTTTTTAGGCAATGGGGTCCTACCATATATAATCTTCTTCTACTCGTTCTTTTTTATTCAATATCATGTAGCTAAGATTCATCCATGTTATTGTATGCAAGCTAGGTTCATTCACGGTTTATTGCTGTATAATAGTCCGTTGTACAAATATGCCACAATCATCCATTCTCCTGCACACATGGGAAATAATAAAAAATTCTCCTTATCAGAATTTGTGGGAATCAGCAAAAGTGTTGCTTTGAGAGACATTTATAGCTTTAAATATTAGAAAGGAAGAATGACTAAAAATCAGTGCACTAAATGTCAGACTTAAGGTCAAAAAGTAACAAAAAGAATAAATTGCAGAGAAAGAGGAAGGAGATAAGACCAGAAATAAGAAAACATAGAAGATCCAGGAAGTCAAAAGTTGGTTCTTTGAAAATAGTAACAAATAGTAACAAAATCATCTTGTGATGTCAGTCACAACAGAAGAAACAATATTATGAATGAAAAAAAGGTGTAACTACAGATTCAGCAGAGTTAAAAAGAGAAGTGAGTATTATCAGCATCATTATTCCAGTAGATTTGAAAAGAGGCAATGGGGGCCCCTGGGTAGCTCAGTGGTTGAGCATCTGCCTTTGGGGTTCTGGAATCAAGTCCCACATTGGGCTCCTGGGAAGAGCCTGCTTCTCTCTCTGCCAGTGTCTCTGCCTCTCTCTCTGTGTCTCTCATGAATAAATAAATAAAATCTTAAAAAAAAAAAACAAAAACCAGCCAAATGGACAAATTCCTGGAAAAATGTTAACAATGCTGAAAAATTAAAAAGTCTGAATTGGCATATCATTAAGGAAGTTGAAGTATTATTTAAACTTATATTTGGGGCACCACAGGTGGCTCGGTGGTTTAGTGCCGCCTTTGGCCCAGGGTGTGATCCTGGAGACTGGGATCGAGTCCCACGTCGGGCTTCCTCCATGGAGCCTGCTTCTCTCTCTGCCTGTGTCTCTGCCCCCCTCTCTCTCCTCTGTGTATTCTCATGAATAAATAAATAAAATATTTTTTAAAAATAAACTTATATTTGTACAAAGCAAACACAAGAACCAGGTGGTTTTACAGGTGGAGTTTACTCAACTGTCAGGAAACAGATTACTCCAGTTTTTAAAGAAACTCTCCCAGAAGATTTTTAAAAAGTGTTTTTCAAACAGGACTCTGTCTTAGAATCTCAATCATGATTGGAGGTGGGTGGGGGGTAGTCCCTTCTCTGCTGTGTCCAGATTCTAGTTCCCTGCTCTGCCCGTGTAATAATCTTATCATTTCTCCCTTATCCCAGTTCCATGTCTGTGACGAGCTTGGAGGCTGAATTGCAAGCCAAGATCCAAGAGACCTATCCTGAATTACGACGCGTATACTTTAACAAAGGATTGTAAAGTAGCAGAAGAAACTCTACAGCTTATCATGTCCACTGCAAATCTGGTGAGGAAAAGCCTGTTCGACCTGGGTTCTCCCAGTTACAGAAAGCTTTTAAAGATCCACATTAGCCTTTTAGAGTCAAGCTGCTACTTACAGCACAGCCCCTGGTATGGTATGGGCCAGGCACCCGACACCTGTTTTGGCTCCCTTATATTTGAATCACGATGTGATTTACAGAAATACCCTTCCTATAGCTTTTATAGTAATTGTTTTTTCAAAGATAATATACCAACCCTCACCCAGAGTTTTAAAAAGCACTGCTAGGCATAGAGTAGATGTTTAGTATACAGTCAATAAATATGTCTTGATTATCAGTGAGTGAAAAGGAAATCTGTTTGAAATACTGGATTGTTATCCTGTTCTTGTTTTGAATCACTCAACAATGATTGGGAAAAACACAAAAGCTCTTGAAGCCAAGCTATAAGAAATTATTGTAAATATTAAGGACATTTGCTTCCATTTTGGGCAGTGGGCAACCCAAAGTAGATGATAAGTCTTTTGAATTTATAAGATAAAAGCTTCTCCATCTACTTCCTGAAAGTCACAATAATAATAGACAAGTGTGATTCCTGCTGTCAACAACTGTATGCATTCATATTGCTGGTAGATTTCTTTGGTTGACTTTTAAGCTTATTGTTTTACATTCTTACGAAGTTAATCTTAACTTGCATTTGTTGACTTTATATTCAATTATTTACATCAAATAATCAAATAACTGAAATGTACAAATGTCAAATTTTGGAAGTAATATTCAATACCAATGCCGTATGACTGGATCGAATCTGGTTTGTTTGATTTTTTTAGAAATGAGAGCACAGTTCCAGCCAGCTACCTGTCTTTTCTCATCATTCTAATAGATCTCTGGCTTTCAGAAAGAAAAGGAAATAATGTGTACGTGAATCAGTGACTGATGAATTTTACTTGAATATTGTGTATTACATTCCATCCTGTTTAAAAATAAGGAATCCATGGACCACTGTTTACATCGTCTGTAGTAGCTTCACATATATTTAATGTAACAGATTATGGTTTCAAATTCGAAGATGTTCAAGGTATATGCTAGGTGACTGTTCTGTTGAGTGAAGACCACTCAGTTCAATTGTTAATTCAGAGACTTATAAGTGAAAAAAAAAATGTAGTAGCTAGTTTTGACAGATTTTTCCAGATAATGTGACCAGACTGAATTTCCTCATAAAGAAAAAATGGTGTGCCTTGTGTCCGTGTTTCTCTTTTCTCTGAAAGGATTGATGGATCTGAAGCTTGGGACCACTCTGAGGCTTCCTTTGTGCCACCAGAATTTTCTCATTTAGATTTTCTGTCTTAAACCATTTGAGGCAAAATAGCTTCCCCATGACAGTCTTGCCTTGGATGTATTTTGTTGCCATAGATGCTTCTCTTTAAAAAAGTGGTAAGAGACTGAAATTCAAGTCAGATCTCCATGAGGTGCTGAAAGGGTGCTATTAATGTGAAAATGAAGCACTTGAGCCCCCCCACCACACTCCTGCCCCAGCTAATCTCAGAATTCTTACCACCTCACCCTCTCATTAACTGGTAGCTGCATCTTAGAATCTTTACCTTCATTGAGAAATTAATTAGCAACTGGTTTGAAGATTGATGAACTAATTGAAATTTTATATGTACGAGGAAGGGATAATGAATATGGAGATATGTCTTTTTAAACATTATTTATTGAAGCTTCCAACTCTTGCTGCTTTTATATAGAAATATTAACTGTCTTGTTTAATCATGATCTATAAAAAGGAACAAATGAACCAAGATTGGCAGTCTTGCTGATCTCTTAGAAATACCTTTTTTGGAGAAAAGTCCACAGGAAGTGCTTATAAGGGTAGTTATTCATATTTCTATTAACATTATAAAGAATTACGATTGTGCGTGTTTACTGACTGGCAGTTTTTATTTCAGTATTAGCACAGTGTCTCGCCAGTGTTGGAATCAATGTATTATTTCAGTTCAACTGGATGAAATGTTAATAAACTCAGAATGAAAATAAATTCTCTCTTTTATTTGTATGTAAAGGGTAATTCAGTTTTTGTCACAGTCGATGGTATCTTTCATTCAGACTTAATATCTGGGTACCATCATAACTCCTAACGAATGATAGTTTTGTATTATGCCTTCAGCAGGAAGCAGTTTCCTGTTCGTGGCTACCAGTCTTCCACCTTCGTGAACACCATATGTGCAGAGCACACACCTCCTCACAGCCCCACGCAGTGTAATTCCAGGAATGTTTATTATGAGCACAGGGGGAAGCGTGACTCTGCTTTTGGTCCTGATAACGAACACTGCTGCACATGGTGGTGAGGTAAATTTGCTGTCGTATTGTTTGTCCGATTCTACTGTGGAACTAGCATATGACATAGTTCATGGAGAAAAATCTCAGTTAACTCAAGATTGGAGAGTGCCTTATTACCAGACTTAATAAAAGATGAGCATTTTAACCTTCTTGTCCATGTCGCTGCATCTGTTTTGTGACTGTAACTTGTCAAGTTACAAATGAGTTAACCATATTCCAGGGCTTGGGTCTAGCAGTCAGACAGAGCTGGTATAATCTTGGTTGTACTCACTTTTAAAATATATGTTTGGGCGACTGACATTCCCCAGGACCTTCAGTTTTGTCTGCTTTGGTTTGGGAGAAAGTAATCGAATGTACCTCATAGAGTCGTTATAAAGATGAAAAAGAATCCCTGTACAGCAGTTAGCATATTGCCCGGCACAGAGTAAACACTCAGTGATGGTGTTGGTTGCCCAGCATATATTTATGTGTTCCAGACATACTGGTTGTACATTTTAAGAACACCAGTTTAGGGGCACCTGGGTGGCTCAGTGGTTGAACATCTGCCTTCAGCTCATGTTGTGGTCCTGGGGTCCTGGGATCAAGTCCCACGTCGGGTTCCCTGCATGGAGCCTGCTTCTCCCTCTGCCTGTGTCTCTGCCTCTCTCTTGTGTGTCTCTCATGAATAAAGAAATAAAATCTTTATAAAAAAACACCAGTTTATCAGTGTTAATGGTAAGATTTAGAACCCCAGCAACTTCCCCAGAGATAACCCACAACCTAATTAAAAATAACAGATTAAAATGGTTAAATGGAGACACTCGAATCACTCCTGTTTAAAATGTCTAACAATTAAGATTTTGCCTAAGTGAGACAGAGGTAGGAAAAGTCTTTGCTCACAGATGAGACAACTAGGGCTTCCAGTGGTGAAGTACAAGCTCAAGGCTACTCCCTGTCACTTGAAAACTTCAGTGGGAACCAAGCTCTGACACCCAGACTTTTCAGCCCTCTCCAAAAATGTGAACAGCTGGAATACTCAAATGAAATTAGTTTTTCCTTAGTGTATGCAGAATTTCACTGAAAGCTGAAGAGAAGTAAGGTTATGCTTGGTAGTGATGAATATAAGGTATCATTTAAAACATAGATACTCCAAGTGTGGTCCACAGACCAGAACATCCAAATTTGTTAGAAATGCAAGTCCTTGGGCCCCACCCCCAGACCTACTGAACCAGAACCCACAGGATAGCCGGCGCCCTGGGGAGCCCTGTGGACATCACAGCGTGAGCAATTCTGGCTGTAGCTATGTCCGGATGGTCCCAGAGGTCTGAGCATCACTGAGCGCATTTCAAAAGATCAATTTAACAATTTTCTGTGAATTCGCATATTTTGCCCCAACCAGATTCGGAGAAAGTATCAAGGCTCAGTGTTGACACACTGAGGGACACAGTATCAAGAAGCTTACAAGGGCAGGGATGTCTTTTGTCCTCTGATCTATCTCCAGCACCTAGAACAGTTGGTACCAGCCAAAGGGCCACATGATCACTGAGATCACACTAGACTCTTTCCAGGAGTCTCAAAGAGCATCTTCCCATTTCCTTGCAGAAAAGAACCTATTTTGTGTCACAAAGAGGAGGTCTTCACAGGATGTGAAAAGAACAGGGAATATGAGAATTTCTGGGAATGGAGCCCGAAATGAACATCGTCCCTGGACATAGAGGGGATGGCTTTCAGCGGCCAAGCTGCAACCGTTGTTACAGAGGCACCCCCTTGCCACCCCCTTGCCACTGCCCCTAAAGCTTTAGGAGCAAAAAGAGCATTTGGGGCAATTTAATCCTCAAGAAGCCTGTCATATCCCCATCTCTGAAAAGGGAAGGAATTTGAGGCTCAGCGAAGTGCACTAACTTGTGTCACACAGTAGCCCAACCACCATCTCAATCCAGACCTGTCAAACTCAGCTATTTCCCCACTGTATTTCACAGATCCGAAGTGGCCAGCCTTTTTTTTTTTTTTTTTGCATACATCACTCCTTCTCATCCCAAGGGTTTCCTCTCCATTCAAAGGTGGGAGAACAGACTTGAAGACGTGGAATCACTTGCCACAAACCTAACTTGGTTCATTCAAAGGACTATGGAAGATGACTCTCATTCCCACATACACACCCACACACATAAGGTAGGTCAGCGAGGTCATTTCCATCCAGATAATAGTCCCAGGTTAAAGTAAGAGTGAGAACCAGTGGCTCTCAAAATGTAGCCCCCAGACCAGCAGCAGCAGCAGCACTGGAAACTAGAAATGTTTGTTCTCAGGCCCTTTCCGTAAGCGCTGAATCAGAAGCTCGGTGAGGGGGGGCTAGGGGAAAGCCCAGACAGTTCTTAGCAAGCCCTCTGAGTGATTCTGATACAGACTGGGTGGCTCTTCTGATGATTGCTGCAGTTGAATTCAGCTCCATTCCATGAATTGAGCAGGCAAAGCAATGTCAACCTCAGCCTCCTCATCTGGAGAATGAAAATAACCCTCCTTCCCACACTGGGTACCCGTGAGGATCCGGGGAGTATTAATAAATAGCACCTAGCCTGGTGCCCGGCACAGTGCACGTTGACTCAGCACATTGTAGCTTAACTTCAAATGTGTGATCCCCAGGGCTGAAAGTTTGGCAACACTGTTGGTGATCTCGCTGGGAAACAGGCACTCTCATGACTGCGGGTGGGTGTGCAAGTTGCTGTGATTTCTCCGCAAGACAGTTTGGCACTATCAAAACTTACAAAAGCACATGCCCCCTCTTAAGCAAATCCGCTTCTAAGAATTAATCCCACAGACGAACACAGTCGGGTTCATGGAAGGCCTGGCTACTCCCATGGGAGCCATATGGAGGCAATGTGTCAGGCAGGAGTTGGAAGAAGGGGGAGGTTGGAGGGTGTTTCCAAAGAAATTGCTAGGCAGGAAAAAGAGAAAGTATACTCTACTGTGGGGTAGTCTAAAATACAAGAATATATTTTCCCTTGGGAACTCAAAAAAAAAAAAAAGATTTTGTTTATTTACTTGACAGAACACAAGCAGGGGGAGCGGTAGGAGAAGCAGAGTCCCTGCTGAGCGGGAAGCCTGATGTGGGGCTCGATCCCAGGACCTTGGGATCATGACCCAAGCAGAAGGCAGCCGCTTAACTGAGTCACTCAGCCCCCCGCCCCTTGGGAACTTTTTCTTTTTTAAAGATTATGTATTTATTAGAGACAGAGAGACAGAGGGAGAAGCAGGCTCCATGCAGGGAGCCTGATGCAGGACTCAATCCCGGGTCTCCAGGATCACGCCCTGGGCTGAAGGTAGCGCTAAACTGCTAAGCCACAGGGGCTGCCCACCCCCTTGGGGACTTTACAGTTTTTTTTCTGATTTGGATTCTTGTGAGATAGATTCATAACAGCCGATTGTCACAAGTATAAATAAGTTGAGAAGAAAGGCTATCTCTGGATGGTGGGATTATAAGGGATTTTTACATTTTTATGCTTTTCTGATTTTTTTCAGCCTTCTGTTTCAGAACTCAGGACATACTAAATAGAATTTTTCAAACCTCTGTGTATGATAATCCAAATTTTCTAATAAATGCACTGATATGTATAAAAGATGTATTAGAGGGCAGCCCCGGTGGCTCAGCAGTTTGGCACCGCCTGCAGCCCAGGGCGTGATCCTGGAGACCTGGGATCGAATCCCACGTCGGGCTCCCTGCATGGAGCCTGCTTCTCCCTCTGCCTGTGTCTCTGACTCTCTCTCTCTCTCTCATGAATAAATAAATAAAATCTTAAAAAAAAATAAAAAAGATGTATTAGAAGGATACCAGAATGGTTAACAGTTGTCGTCTCTGGGTTTAGATGTAACCTGTATTTTGTTTACAGTTTCCTGTGTCTCAGATTTTCTGGAATGCGTCTGTATTCATTTTATAATCAGAAAAACATCAAGTTCAGGCTATAGAGTAGTAATGCAGTAGCTCGATCTGCCTCACGGGATCATTGCCAGCCCCAAGCAGGCTCCCCGGGGTCCTGAGCTCCCGTGGGGGGGGGGGGGAGCGGGGGTGCTGAGAGGCGCCGCTAGGGTGCAGCATTGCCTGCAACATCGAGCGCTGAGCCTCCCGTCACCCCCAGCCTACCGCAGGTGTCCTGGGGCAACCCAGGGCAGGCAGCCGAGAACAGGGAGACCGTGGATCTCTGCATTTCCGAGACCACCTCAGGAAGAGTGTAGAAAAACCTGGGGGAAGGACGATCTCTCCAGCTGCTGGACAGATAGCCTGCTTTGGCACCCAACAGGCAGGAATGGATTCAGCCATTGAAACACCTGACCCCGGCAGGCGGGGGTGGAGCAGAACACAAAACAATGAGTGATTGACCCAGTCCATACCCTCAAGGCCATAAGGACTGTGACACAGCCGGTGACCCCAGGATGATGAACCCTGAACCCAGCTGGGGGAGGCGAGCTGGAAATCAAGGAGGACTTTAGGGAGTGGCACATCAGCAAGAGGAGTAGGAAGTACTGAAGGGGAGGGGAGAGAGGGCAGGAAGAAACCAGTGCTTCTGGTTGGAAGGAACGGTCAAGGGAGGACCTGGAGACCCGAGAAAGTGTGGCTAGTATTGTGTGCAAGGGAGGGAGCTTTCAGAAAGATGCCCCCAGGTGTCGGGGGCCAGGTGTTCAGTGCCCAGAGAAAGAGCACGGTCTTCAACCTGAAGCCCCTGCTCG